CCAGCTACTCCTCTGAAACCCTAAACAGGGTTGCTATGAGTTGAAATCGACTTGGTGGCACTCAGTTTTAATCAACAAAGATATGACACCAAAACACGATGTGTGGACCTTGTTTGGGTCCCAATGTAAAGAAATCAAATATGAAAACACGTTTTTGAGTCAATAGGGAACATTCAGTGATGGGTCAGCTATTCGGTGATGCCAAGGCCTGATTGTTAAGTGTCCTGTGTGATAATGACATTATGGTTCTATACATATTATTATTGTTATATTATTAGATAAGGCACTCTGGTAGCATAGTGGTTATGAGTCATGTTGCTAACTTCAAGGTCATCAGTTCCAAACTACCAGCAGGTTCCACAGGAAAAAGATGAGGCTTTCGGCTCCTGTAAAGATTTACAGCCTTGGAAACCCTATACAGGATCTCTTAGGAGTTGGAACCGACTCCCCAGCACATAACTATCACCGCCGCCATTATTAGACATGTATTCAGTAGTATGAAGGGGCAAATCACATATTGTCTGGGATTTGTCATAAAATATTTCCTCAAGGGGAAAAAAGGGAATAACTGAACGAAAACCTTGATGATACATACTTCTTGGTGATGGGCATGGGGGAAATGCTTTGGAAGACTTCTCTAAGCTTTTGTGAATGGTTTTAGGGTTTTCCACACACAAGAAATTTAAAAACAACAAAGTTGTATGAGAAAGAAGGTCACGCCATGGAACTCAGGTGTTTAGTTGGCATGAAAAGTAAAATTAAGGAGCCAGGAGTCAAGATGGATAGGACTTCCTAAATCTTTTACTATCAGCTTTCCTTAGCAAAGAGAGTCACAGAGAAATCAAAAGGAGACCACACTCCACAGCAGCGGCTCAGAGCAGCTGCCCTATGCTCCCCAGGCCTGTGTATCAGCCCAACTTGGCAAACAGCAGCAAGGTGGCAAGAATTCCTGGCAGCTGAAACAGGAGAAGAAAGAAACATTAAACCAACGCTAAGTACCATGGCCACACTGGAGTCCTGGTGTGGTGCAGTGGGTTAATGCACTGGACTACAAAGTCAGTTGGAACCTCAAGGTTGGTGGTTCAAGCTCACCAGCTACTCCTTGACTCGAAGGCATGTAACAACAATAAATACCTCCAAAGGAGGATCAAAACAGAGATCCCAGGAGGGGAAGTTGAACACAGTATCCTGTTCCACAAAGACAAGGGGCAGGGTTGTAGAGATGGCCCAAGAAAGATCACTTTGGTCCTATGAATCTCAGCAGTGGCTAGAGAGCATGTACTTTGTGATGATGCACTTTAGTCCTTCTCTCTTTGCTTCCCCCAAATATCTCCTCCACAGTCTTCTTTCTTCCCCTAGGCTTATTGACTACATTTCCCAGAAAACCCGGTCCTCCAGCTTCCTATTAGATTTGGCCAATGGGATGTACTAGTAGAAAGTGGATGGGTATGGGGAGAGAAAGCTCAGAGTGTTTCTTCCCCATTCCCTCCCTTCCGCCCACCCTGAGCCTTCAATAACCATAGTTGTGGGCAGATGGCCGTTTGCCTTCAGCTCTTGTTCCTGCTACCCCATTCCCAGATCATTCAGACCTCAGAGATATAAAAAGTCCCTAGGTGTCTCAACATTTCTCCTTAATTCGGTTAACCCAACACATACCTCTCCTTGTTATTGTTATTAAATGCCGACAAGTTGGTTCCAACCCATAGTGACCCTGTATAGGGTTTCCAAGGAGCAGCTGGTGAGCTTGAACCGCTGACATTGCAGTTCAAATGGCTTTGCAGTCTGGCGCATTAACCCACAGTGCCACACCAGGACTCCATACCTCTCTTGTTGTTGTTAAGTGCTGTCGAGTCAATTCCGACCCATAGCAACCTTGCATAGGGTTTCCAAGGAGCAGATGGTGAACTTGAACCACCGACCTTGCAGTTCAAACAGCTTTGCAGTCTAATGCATTAATCCACAGCACCACACCAGGACTCCATACCTCTCCTAGGAGTCTCCTAAATAAATCTTCTTACCTGGGCCATCTGGGGCTGATGTTTGTTTCCTGCTAGCATCCTGACTATTATGACCTCCTTGGAAAGGAGAGTGTTGTAAGAGCTCTTTTCCAAATCTGAGGTTACAAAGATTTACCACTGTGTTTCCTTCTGCAAGTTCTATAGTTTCAGTTGTTACATTTGGTCTATGACCTATTTTGAGTTAATTTATGTATCTGGTATGAGGTCTGGTATTGTGTGTCTGGTATGAGGTCCAACGTCAAAGAGCACAGCCTTC